GTGTGTGTGTGACAGGAACGAAGGCTGCTAGGCTGTCACAGCAAGACATGCATGAGCACTGATGTGACCGAGGGGACAGATGAGGCTCAACACACACACACAGTCGCCATCCTACTCCTCATTCATACTACTAACTCACACACACATGCTGGTAGGATAGAAGGCATCAGTGTGAAGCAGGAAGCTGTCACATCCAGCAGACTGTGGGCCTTCTCCCCTGACCACGGTGCTGATGTTGTCTCCTCTCACTGCACTCTGGGAATTAATCAAAGTTGCTATGGTGGAAGGCATCAAGTGTGTGTGTATGTGTGTGTGTTGGAGTGTTTCTCAGTCTAGACAGGGAGGAGCCAGTAGCTGCAGCTTCCTATGAGGTCCTGAAGGAGGGCACAACTTCTCCCTTTTCTCTCCCCACACACAAGTGTCTATTTTCTGTCTGTCCCAGTCAGAGGCAGAGGCTGAGGGCTCTGCGTTAGATGGCTAGCCGGCTAACTAGAGCCTGAAACACAAACATGTCCATTGAGCAGAACTGGGAGCGTCCCTCACAGCTCCACACATTGCAAAACCCTGACTTCTCTTGACATATTTTAACATCAAAACTTGGGATTTATTAAAAAACAACAACATCACGTTCATTGTTAAATAACTAGGTCAAATAATTTAGTCAACAAATATACAAAGTACATATTATTGCAGTCGTAAAAGATAATTGATCCGATTTCTTCAGATTTTTGGATTCATTAATATCGGTAACTTTGACATAACTTTATGTGTTGAGACTCCTGCACAATGAAAGCAAACTGAATTTCTCTGTGCTGCTCACAGAGTCGAATAAATAAATAAATAAGACGACATTAAAATATTTCTTCTACTCCAGTGTTCCTGGTACTATAGATAATTGCAGAGCAACCGTCAGCGGCGTTAATGGGGATTCTTTTTGTTTCTGGAAATTATCGCTTTGCTTGAATTCCACTTTTTATGGCGTCTCAGACAAAGCATCGTTCAGCTCCATTATTTTAGGGAGGGTTCCAAAAAATATATGCAGATAGTGTGTGGGTTTGCACCTTATTTCTTACAGCTGGCACCATCTAAAATCTGGTGTTATTTTGATTTTGCACTTCAATTTGATGAACACGTTAAGCCAATCCAATGTTTTCCACCATAGAAACATCACAGCTATTACTTTATCTGTAAAGTAAAAAATAAAATAAAATCTGCAATTTATACTTAACCTTAGAGTTGGTCCAAAATTCTGCATCACAGCTTCTTATTAATCTAATTCCTCTCGTATCTCCCACTTTTTAAGCCATTCTGCATTCTGAACACTTCAGATTTCGCAAATGATCCACCTCAGGCAGCGATTGTTCAGTTCAGGTCTCTTTGCATTTACTTTGCTCATGTTTAAGCAAAAAAGTAAAAAGTGCATTTGCTGTTTTAGGAGTCAGTCAGAACAACACATTCTCTTGTGTGTTTAAACCTTTCTAGTGTTGTTATGCTTAACAGTACACTTGTATATTCTGCTTTATCATGATTTTGTCTCTTTTTTTGTTTAGCAGTTATTGTTCTCAATAAATGCTCTGCACAGATGTTTCATGAAGCATTTTTTTAAATCTATGTTGCAAGAATAAATCTATAAGTTATTACCTCACTGAACTACAAAAGGCGATGTCAGTGAGCAAGGCCAGTCTGATTCTGGCAGATCCTGATCATCCATGGTGAGTTCAGGTTACTTCCATCTGAATGCAGATATCTGCAGCCCAGATGTAGGATGAACAGACTGAAAAACTCATTCATCCCTGTAGCGATCAGGCTTC